AGGTTTGCTCCAGAGTTGGTGGCAACAGAAGAGCATTGTTGTTAGGTTGTGTTATGGTATTTGGGAGAAAGTAGCTGGATCCTTTCGGAAGGATTATTATACTCTAGTCGAGGCGGCGGCCCATGTGGAGGCCATGGTTGTGAAGGATGGTAAAGATAGGGAGGAGGCCTTTTCGGTAACTCCCACGGTTCGTAAGCACTCTAGGTCCAGTAAGAGGTGGAGGCGAAAGCATGCTTAGTCCCAAGCTAAATCTTTTTCTTCGCCAGGGGTCTTAGACTCTTCTGTTGGGAGGTCCAAGGAGGTTCAAATTTTAGACCAATCCCAAAGTAGGGGGTCTGCTAGTTGTTTTGGTTGTGGTCAGTTGGGCCATGTTAGGCGTTTATGTCCTTTGCGTGTGAATTCTTCAGGTGTTTAAAAACTCAATCAGACTCAGTTGTACCCGTCCAGTCAGGGACGTTATCGGTACCAGAAACGGGCAGGCCAGGCTTCGAGGGCCTCGCGAAGGGCAACTTATTTGCTAGCCCTGTAGTATTACCCTAGAAAGGGACTTCTGTATCGTTGGCCGGTGATGTATTATGTAAATCATTTGTTGTTGACCGGTGTACTGTTGGATGTTGAGGCACCATGTTATGTATTACTTATGTATGCATATGGTTGTTTGTTTAATCCTCATCCATTGGAGGGCATGTATGAAATTTTGAACCCTCTCTTATGTATTTATTGAGAGGTTGTTAATGGGATCAATGATCCTAGTGTTGTTGCATGCTTGGTACTGAATTATGAGTTAAGTTTTGTGATGGCCCGTGAGCCTTGTTCACTTTTAAAGTTATTTGTTGAGAACGAGAATCCGTGGGCGAATGTGATTGATGTGATGGTTTCGAGAGTTGCGTGGTATTGGTAGAGTTATGTGAGAATGTTTGAGGGGATATAAGATTTGTGTCTTGGGTTAGAAGGAATGGTACCGGTATATTGTTTTGTGTTCTCAGGTAACGAGAGTAGCATTGATTAGAATTGTCCCTTGTGTTTGGGTTTTGTAATTGAAGTTGACCTTGTCGGTCTTGAGTTTGAGGAGAAGGGCAGGCTTGCTATGTAGGCATGGGAGCTGATAATTCCCTTAGAAGCAGGGATGTTGTGGTTCGATCTTAAGAAGTCCGATGAGATTCCAACATTTTGGGGTTTGTGTAAGGAACTCTGTGTTTGGGGTTAGTGGTTTGAGTGACACTTCAGTGTGTGGTTTACTGAGTGTGGAGGTTTATTGAGTTGATTAGTCAGCTTGTTGGCATCGGGTTGGGTTGGCATGGGTCACCTTGAGAGTAGCCTTGTTTGTTATAGGCATTGTGTGTTGATTAGGGAAAACTAAAACTAATCACCTAGAATGTGTCATTGAATATGACGGTTATAATAATACAGCAAATATGTGTATTGGTTGGTCATTTTGTATGATAAGCTTTTTAATGCATTGTATGTGCATATTGTTTTGGAGGAGATAGGGGATGGACTCCACTGATACAGCAAATCTGTGTATCATTTATGAGGTATGGAAGTGTTTTGTTATGAGTTTTAATCTCATTCAAACTGTTGATATTGGAAGTGTTTTTTGTATGAGCTGTAGTCTCATGGAAATTGGTTGGCTGGATAATGCACCATGTTAATGATTTTAGATTTGATTAAGTAAAGGAAGGTGGAATGAAATTGCAAAACCATGAATTTCTTATACCATATTGCGTTGTTAGCACAATTGTTGTTTCTATTAACTACCATTATAGAAATGTTGTGTTTTGTGTTGGTTATGGCATCACCGTGTGAGTGATGGATGTTGCTAGTGTTATTTTGAAAAGGAATGGAAAACAAATTCTTCCTAGTGTTATGGCCTTCTAAGGGCGTTATTAAAAAGGAAAATACTGAGAAATTGATTTAATTTAAAGGTTGTGAGGAATTCCAAATGAATAATTTTTGGCTAATGAGATGTCGATGATTATGTGTTTTGGATAACTCTGTGTTTGTGAAAAATATTTACAAACCTTTTGACTTTTCGCATGGAAAATGCAAGATTTATTTCGGAACGTCAACGTTGAAAATTTGAACATCTTTGAGAAATGTTTCATGAACAAGAAAATGATTTTTCTTATATTTATGCAAAAGATTTGCTTCGGTCATTTTGTTGGGTATTATGGTCGTTGGTTAGTGACTTAGCTTGGAGTGCAAGTCGGGTGTCTTGGTGATTTATTTCGGGAAGAGATTTGGTTTTGTTAAGGCTTTCGTGCCTACGTGTTGTCGTTTGGAACGTGTTTCGTTGGTTAGCCTCTTCTTTGGTGAGAGTGAATCGAAGGTTTGTTGTGAGAGTAGTCTCTTTCCTAAGTGATCGGGTGCCGAGGGCTTTGTGATCTGTTGGCCTTGTGTTTAGGTGTTTCCTTAATTTCGGGGACGAAATTCTTTAAGAGGGGGAGGTTATAGCGATCCCGGTTTTCCCCTTTCTTTATTTTATTGTATTCCGGACTCGGTTCCGTGGATGTGTTGTTGTCGTATTCTCTTTTCCATTCTTTACTTTTTGAATTCGAGTTTTGGGTTGTGTTAGGCGTGTTTCGAACAGGTTGGTTGAGCTTTAGTCCCATTCCTTGTTGCCCAAAATTTTGGTGTTACGCTCGAGCGGGTCTTCTTGCGCTCGAGCAGGTTTCGATTTTTGGTTGTCCACTCGAGCGGACCGTTTCACGCTCGAGCGGAGTTTACACACTTCCGGCATTTTGTGCCTCTACAAAACTTCTGCAGATGCATTTTTCACGCTCGAGCGGATTAACTTACGCTCGAGCGGGTCGTGTTCGAGCGGGTATCTTGGCGCTCGAGCGGGGTGTTCATTATCTGTGAAGGTACTGGCTGATGGTAATCTACGCTCTAGTGGGCTGTCTTTTGCGCTCGAGCGGGTGTGTTTTGCTTTTGTGTCTTGGAGCTCGAGCGGGTCCAGTTTTTGTGCTTGACGCTCGAGCATCCTATTCTCCGCTCGAGCAGACCTGTCAGTATATCATACGGGACTTTAACTTTTTAGATCACTTTTTGATTTCCTTTCTCTCTCTTACTTTTTCAAAACTCCGTTGGAGAGCTTCTCTCTCTAAAAACACAACTTATCTCTAGGGTTTGATCTAGTAGGAGTGACCTCCTACCCTTTCGCCTTTGTAAATAGTGTAAAGCTTGGTGTGGGCTTTCTATCCATCTGAAAAAGTTGGAGTTTGGAGTACTTTCGAGTTTTGCTCCTCTTCTCCTTGGGTTCTCCATTTGAGGTAGGGATTTCCTTGTTCTTTTACAATGTGTAGACACCCCATTTTTGACCATCTTCAGGACTTGGACGTCATCGTTTGAACACCCGATGATCATCCATGTTCGTGTTCGTTTTGAGTTCCCGGAGGTCTCGGCCGCGCACCTTGCCTCAAGATCTCTTAACTGGACTGTTCTGTGCTTGGTTTTGGACCAAGAACTTGTTAGTTTTTGTTTCTGAGGGCAGAGAATGGCTTGTCAGCCATCCCCGGATCCCACCGGCGAAGGCATGATGTCACCGGCCATGTTCTCTTGCCACCGGCCATTGGTGATGGCTGGTCGGCACCTTTGATGGTCGACCGGCCTTTAATTTGGTCAATCGGCCATACTTTCTAGCCGGGACTTCTTTTTTTCCTTTTTTAGGCATTGTGCATGCTAGCTGGAGCACACAGATCTATCCTCCATACACGTGTATGAAGGATTTGCACCCTTTGCACTCTTTTGTTCTAAGCTTCTTAAAGAAGCTTGCACCCTTTACTCTAGCTTCTTGAGGAAGCTTGGACCTTTGTCTTAGCTTCCTCAAGAAGCTTGAACCCTTTTTCTTAGCTTCCTCAAGAAGCTTGACACCCTTGACCCCTTTTGTTTAGCTTCTCTAAGAAGCTTAGGCCCTTGTCTTGCTCTATAAAAGAAGGCCTCTCTTCTCCTTTGAAGAGGTTCACCAAATCAGAGATATATATGACATATACACCACTCTCTCTCTATATCTCCCTCTCTCTCTACATTTGTATGCGTTAGAATGTCCAAAAGTGAGTTTTGTTCTTAGTTTTGCACTAAGACACCTAGTGTTACAGCATACCTTGGTTATTGAGGTGTTGAGAGCACTACTACAAATATAGATAAAGATCACACTTTTTTGGTGTGATGTATGTTTTTTAATCACACCTTTTAAGTTTTATTAAAGTGTGGTCTTTAGGAGTGTGATTAAAAATGGTCATTTTTAATCACACTTTTTAAGTGTCATTAAAAAATGCTTTCATCACACCTTTTAAGTGTGATTAAAAACATTTAGATCACACCTTTTAAGTGTGATTAAAAACATTTAGATCACACCTTTTAAGTGTGATTAAAAACATTTAGATCACACCTTTTAAGTGTGATTAAAAACATTTAGATCACACCTTTTAAGTGTGATTAAAAACATTTAGATCACACCTTTTAAGTGTGATTAAAAACATTTAGATCACACCTTTTAAGTGTGATTAAAAACATTTAGATCACACCTTTTAAGTGTGATTAAAAACATTTAGATCACACCTTTTAAGTGTGATTAAAAACATTTAGATCACACCTTTTAAGTGTGATTAAAAACATTTAGATCACACCTTTTAAGTGTGATTAAAAACATTTAGATCACACCTTTTAAGTGTGATTAAAAACATTAGATCACACCTTTTAAGTGTGATTAAAAACATTTAGATCACACTTTTTAAGTGTGATTAATAACTAATAAAACCTGTGATAAAAAACAAATTTTGACATATTTAAAGAATAATCAATATTATTTTTGCACGCGCATTTGAATAATGTAATACACACTATATACTATATTTTGAATCACAACCATATATTGAATGAAATAATATCATATATTTCATAAATGAAAGTTAAATGTTTAAAAGTATATACAAAGAAATTAATAAAAAAAAATTAACTGTGATTACATACATTAAAAAATAAAAAATAAAAAATTTGAAAAAAGTAAGTTCTTGAATTCTTTGACCATATTTTGCATCTCTCCAAGAAATTTCTGACCTGAAAAAATAAAAAAACAAATTAATTTAAAAACCACCAGAAGCATATGAATAAACTTACTAATTAATTTATAAACTTACATTTAGATCACACCAAAAATAATGTAATTTATCCAGTTGTTAAACTGCCCCAATCCTTTCCCCACAGCCACCAAAAATGACATAATTATTTTGATTCTCCACACAAATAGTATAAAGCTACAAAGATATTGATACCCTTGTAGAAGCCAAAATAAATCATCAAGGCATGAATGATTTCAAACTTTCTTAAGCTAGAATAATTTAATAATAAAACAAAAAAGTGATCTAAAACTCAAGATATGCACTTGTAGAAAATGACAATATTATTTGAGAAACAAGACATTTAATAAAGGATTAGATACTAAGCACGACATAACAAAGAGAGTAGGGGTAATATGTATACATCCACTCACTTATAGATCAATGTATTGTGCTAGTCTAAAACAATATAGTCTACACCATTCAAGTTTTTTCGGTGTCACTTATAGATCCACTCACTTCTCTCAAATTATTTCCCAGCAAAATACACATTAAACTCCCCTTGCTATTTTTTTGCTTCTTCAGAATCTTTGCTAATTGAATCTAGGTGTGAAATGATATACATAAAACTATGACAAACTCTAGTTCTATCAAACCTTATGAACAAAGTTTCCTTATATATGCCTAAAACACAAAATTATGAAACACCAAACATAAGCAAAATTAAAGCAATTATAGCAATTATAGTCCATTTCATTCCATATTACACCAAACATAAGCAAAATTATGAAAATCAGATTCCAAAGTAGCAAAACCAAACAATACCAAACAATGTCATTGAAATCTCAAGTTCATTTTATTTGATACAAGACACCAAAAACACTAGTCGAAATTGTAAAATGAAGATCTCTCTTTTATGACCAAACTTGTGGAACAAAAGTGAAAAATAAACAAATAACATAACAGAGCAAAATTAAAGCAATTATAACAATTATAGTCCATTTCTAAACCTTTTTCTCTCCTATTTTGTCAATCTTTATTTTGGAATCAGTAAGTCATCCACTTAAGCACTACAAAGTCTCTTCCTTTATTTTCTTACTTTTGTCCTTTGATCTGGCTCTTTTAGGGTTGTTTATTGGGAGTTACATGGTGCAGTAGTATTTTCTTTAGGAATTTTGAAGAAAAAAAAAATAATAATTTAACTTGCTTTTAGTAAATTAATATTAACTCTTTGAAAATAATATTTTTTAGATAACAATATGGTACTTCTATTTTATTTTTCTCTATTTTTTGACAAATATCTACTTGTCTGGTCAAGTATTAAGTATCGTGTGTTGTTGATTTAGACCTACTTCCACCCGTTAAAGTTTGAAGTTTTCTACTATAGACAAGTTCTTTGAAAACTTAAAAGTAGTAATTAAATATTTAAACTAAAATGGTTAGTTATGAAAATATTTTATACATATCTTAACTCCACTCTGCATTTTATATACATTATGTATTGACGATTATACAATTTATATGCTTTTTATCTTTCAAAGAACCTTACTTTTGTAATTTCAAGGACTATACACTGGTTGGTGTCTTGTTCTCACAAGATATTTGTGTTTACTATAACTATATTTATTTTTCTACCCATTTTTATAGATGTTAAAAGTATCTTATGATACACAATATGATACAATACTCAACTCAGAAAAATAGAAAAACAATACTCAATTCGTATCCCAATTTGACAACTATGGAAATGATATTTACAACTAAGATTTTTTTCTACATACTTTCATCATATTCTTTTCCTCATTGTTTTCCATGTTAACAACACAAAGATTGATGATTTCCCTTGCATTTCCTTTTCCTTTTCCTCAAAAAATTGACGAGCCAAACAGAGGATTAGTAATCGTATCCGAGGACGGACAATCACGAATAATTTTGTAGATTGGCAAAATTATTCCAAAGCATGATTTTACTAAAGAAGAAAAATAGCACAGAATTTTGTAATAGGTCATGAAACATAAGCAATCTTGAGTAATTGATAGAGAAGCTTATGGCTACCTTACAGAACCAATATTTCTTTTCTCCTGGGCCAAAAATGATATCTTTCACAACTTTATTCCCATCGGATTCCTATTCATGTCATACAATCAATTCCAACGATATGAGATACAAAGATAATGAGAAAAGTACACAGCCTAATGTCAAATAAAAATAATAAAAAAAGTAATGATAAGCAAATATATAAAATATCAAAACAAAATATGTACTAGTACTAGATTATACAAGCCCAACAAAAACAAACCAAACCCCTATTTTGACCATCCACTAGTTCTTTTGATCACCAGTGGTCTCAATGAACTTGATGTGGAAATGTAGTAATTTTCCTCATCAAAGAAATTTCATTTGGTTCAGTGTCATAGGCCTGCCAATTTAAACTGGAAATTTTCCTCTTATCAAATAATGTCACTAACTGCAATAAAATGATATTACATTCTCTGCAATAGGAATGATTAGGCAAGGGCTCAAATTTCTACTATGTACAAAACGAAGAAAACAAAACTTTCATAATGTACAGCAATTCATGTTACATAAAACAAAATCATACATTTAAGATTGCAGCAATCTGACCCCAAAACAAAGGTACCTCACAATGCTGAGGGATAAAATCAACTAATCTTGTTTCTTAGGCATTTGAGTTTCTAGCATTTCTTTCTTCAATATCCCTGCTAGTTCATCATTCCCTTGTTTTGAGTTTCTAGCATTTTCTTAGGCATTACATGAAGATTGGCTTTAGAAACAAATCCCTTCATAAACCCACTTTAATATTTTTTAAATAAAAAACCATTCAAAAACACATTTAAATATAAATTTGTAAGAAATTTATCAAATTTCAACTCTAACCTTATAACTACTTGTAGCCCTTAGCCCACTCATATTTGTTGAGGATCTGAAATCTGAAAATTAACCATGATAGGGAGCACAGTAACATACCAATGCACTGAAAACATCAAGCAACCAAGAAGCAAACATGATAGCAAAAGGAAAAATGTGATTGTGCTCCAATTAATGATTTATCAACATCAACACAACAAAAAAACAAAAAACAAAAAACAAAAAAAAAAAAAAAACAAAAAAAAGAATGGTTTCTTAATTTTTTTGTTATGTCTTTATAGTAGTCATTGTGCCTGTTATCTCACTACCACCTTCCGGGTTTGTGATTATCACTAGTTTTGTTGCGGGTTCGGTAGTATTGTATCCATGACAGATTCCACCAGTGTGTCCCCTTCTTCTCAAACACCAAAGAGTGAGAGTCCCATTCTACCTACTACCATGACTGAGAACCCCAACCCTAGCCTGAAAATCACCACCTCTCTATTTAATGGTCAAAACTACCTAGCATGGTCTCAAAGCTTGACTATGTTTTTGAAGAGCAGAGGGAAGATGGGATATGTTGATGGCAGGATACAGGCACCTAGTACCACTGACTCAGGTTATGACCAATGGGAGATTACCAACTCTTTAATTATGAGTTGGCTTATCCATTCGATGGTTCCAGAACTTGGTGAGGGCTACTTATCTATGGAGACTGCCCAGGACGTTTGGGAGGCTGTGGCTGTTACCTATTCCCGCAAAGGAAATTTTTCACAGGCATTTGAGTTTGCCCATTGGCCTTATTATTATTTGTATCAAACCATGCTTGAGCAGGACCTCTTGGAAATCTAATCTATGAGTTCCTATCTTTATCAGAGGCTTTGAACAAAAGAAAGATCCCTTTTATTAGATCTTGACAAAGCCATTTCAAATGGTAAACCTCAACCCCTACTCAAGAGTAATCATATTTAAATATAATCTGATTCAGCTTGATATAAGTAATTGCAGAGAACAGAAAACCAACCTAGACCTAGGGCAATTTCACTAAAAAAAATAAAATTGAAAAAATGCATGAATTCTTACTTGAGATCTGGGAGCCTCAAATTGGGGTTTAATCAGAGCAACCAATGTAGCTTCTTTCCTTCATTACATTGACCACAGCAGGCATGACCTGCATTTAGGGTTAAATTAGGAACAGAGGAACAAAATGAAACAAAACCTTTAGGCTGTGTTTGGATCACAGATTTCAGAAATGTGAACGAAATATAAGCTAAATTTTTTCTTTATCTCCCTCACCTTTTCCATTCTCTTTCCAAATCCATGATCCAAGCATAGCTTTAATAGGACTAAAAATCTAGATAATGATTAATAAAATCATGGTAATAATAATGGAGAATGTTGAAATTTCACTGCTCTACTAAAGAAAGAAATGGACTGCCTTTTAGAAGGCATGCAGAAAATCTAAGGCTCTATCTATAAATGAAGACCAAAGAATGGTCATAAATAACAGCTTGGAAAAATATACAGATGCAAGTTAAGATCATTTCAGCACTATCTAAAAGCTCACCAAAAGTATAGAAATGAATTAAAGGTCCAATGTCACCAAGTCAACTTTCCGTGGAAGTACAGGAAGATATCTCAAATTTGTCCGTTCTACAACACTCGCACGTTCATCACGATGAATTTTGTCTGCAACCTATTTAAAAAATCAACATCAACCATTACTCATTAACAAATGTGAAATCCAAATATACAAGAACCACATTTGGAGGTCTCTAAGTTCAACGGCAGATTAACATTGGCAGAGCCAGAAGCTCTTTTATTACCACTAGCAGTGCCTATAAGACATTGCAAATTAGCTCCCATAAAGAGCCATAAAGAAGAAACTCATTACTGCCATTTCATACCTTTGTGGATAATCTTCCCTATTGACTGTTGCTTGCCATTTTGTGTCTTTTTTGCAGGCTCAACCTGTGTAAAAAATACACGCACATCAAATATATAGCACAGAAGAACATTTCTCTGTGTTTAGAACTGGAACAAAACAAAATAATAATAATAGATTAGACTCTAAAAGATTAGATTTAGAAGTTTAGAACTGCAACAAAAAAAAAACAGTTAAGAAGAAGAAAAAGAAGGAGAGAAAGAGAGAGAGAGAGGTACCTCAGTTCAGTTACAGTCAGTGTAGACTAGTAGACTGTAGATCGATCAATCTAACCATCTATTTCATTTTAGAACTGGAACAAAAAAAAAACAAAAAAAAAAAAAAAAAAATAGATTAGACTCAGATCATCAAAAGAAGAGAAGAAAAGAGAAGAAGATGAAAGCAGAAGAAGATGAGAAGAAGAAAAAAACACAGAGAGAGAGACAGATACCTCAGTTAGTAATGTAGAATCTAGATCGATCGCCGACGACGCCGTGTAGATCGATCACCAACGCCGTGTAGATGATCGCCGACGCCGTATATGTAGATCGTCCGACGATGGGTAGGGTAGTAGAGAGAGACAGAAAGAGAGAGTTGAGAGAGACAGAGACATGTTGAAGAACCTAGGGCTACAAAACGTGAAATGAAAAAAAAAATGAGGCAACACAGGGGGAAAAGGGGGAAAATAAGTGAGGGCGCGGGCGGGTTGGGTGAACAGATTAAATTGACGGATTGCCCGCGACCCGACCCGAATCCGAGAAAATGAAAAATATGGACCCGTATTTGTCCGCCACATGTCACGCATCCACCCAAAACTCAACGGGTCGGGTCGGGTCGGGCGGGTGTGGCAGGCCGAGCCATCCGCTGCACACCCCTAGTTTCCATCCATAAAAGCTATTAAAAAGTCACACTAAAAATAAATATAATCACATGTTAAATAGAATGTGCGATTAAAAAAATATATATAATTACATTTAATTAAAAAGTAATATAAAAAATAAATATTATCACACTCAATCAAATTAAATATGATTAATATATATCAATCTAATTTTTCTATCATATTTCTAATAAAAGTAAGATATTTTAATTTGTTAGTGCGGGAATGGAAAACAAAAAAACAGACGGGAATAAAAAATATTTTTTTTTGTCATAAATGAAATTTAAATAACAAAATAATGTCGTTTAACTTTTTTTTTTTTTTTTTTTTGGTAGCGGCGAAGGAGATTAATGGTGAAGTTGTGGTAGTGGTAGAGTAGATGAAGTGGCAAGGATGAATGAGAGGTAATGGTAGTAGTAGTGGCAGTAGTGGTGAAGGTGGTGGATAGGAGATGATGGTGGTGGTGGTGGTGGCGAAGGAGATTAATGGTGATGTTGTGGTAGTGGTAGAGTAGATGAAGTGGCAAGGATGAATGAGAGGTAATGGTAGTAGTAGTGGCAGTAATAGTGAAGGTGGTGGATAGGAGATGATGGTGGTGGTGGTGGTGGCGAAGGAGAGTAGTGGTGAAGTTGTGGTAGTGGTATAGTAGATGAAGTGGCAAGGGTGAATGAGAGGTAATGGTAGTAATAGTGACAGTAGTGGTAGTGGTGGCAATGGTAGTGGCAATGGTAGTCGTAGAGGTGAAGTGGCGACAATGGTAGTAATGGTGGTAGTGGAATGGCGTTTGCAGTAATGGTGAAGGTGGTAAAGGAGATGGGTGGTGAGAGAGAGAAAAATGAGTGAGAGACAGATGGAGGAGAGAAAGAGAGTGAGAGAGAGAGAGAGAGAGAGAGTGATGAGCAAGAGAGAGACAAAGTGGTCGCTAAAAGTGCATTTTCTTGTAGTGGATAGATAAATCGAGAGGGAGCTCAGTAAATAGAGAAGACAAAAGGGAGAGAGTGGGCAACGCGAACATAGTGGAAGAGAAAGAGAGAGAGAAAGAGAAGAGAGAGAGAGGGACAAAAAGATAGAGAGTGAGAGACAGAAAAAAGATAGAGAGACAAGAGAGATGAACGAGAGAGAGATAGAGAGAAGAGAGATTAGCGAGAGAGACATAGAGAGAAGAGAGATGAACGAGAGAGAGAGAGAGAAGAGAGATGAGCGAGAGAGACAGAGAAATATGAGAGAGATAGAGAGAAGAGAGATGAACGAAAGAGACAGAGAGAGAAAAGAGATGAGAGAAAAAGATAGATGAGTGAGAGACACAGAGAGAGAGAGAGAGAAAGACAGATAGACAGAAAGAAAAGAGTGATGAGTGAGAGAGAGAAAGAGAAGAGAGAGAGGAAGATGAAAAAAAAGGTGAAAAGATATAGACAAAGAGAGAGGGAGAGAAAAAAAGAGCGAAAAGAGATAAACGAGAGAGAGATGAGCGAGAGAGATAACGAGAAGAGGGATAGAGAAGAGAGGCAGAGAGAGATAGACAGAGAGAAAGAGAGAGAGAGAGAGAGACAGACAGACAGACAGACAGAGAAGGGTGATGAGTGAGAGTGAGAGTGAAAGAGAGAGAGAGAGAGAAGAGAGACAGAGAGATAGAAAGATGAAAATGAAAAAATAAAAGTTCCGTGTCTAAAGCCTCATTTTCTAGTAGTGAGTCATCTCTATCATTCATGGGTAGAATAGAGGCGCGGATTTGGGAATTGTATATTTTATATAAAAATCAAATTGAAATATTTTTATATAATACACCTATTTAGGGAGTGTGATTAAAAAGTAGTAATGTATATATAATCACACTTTAATTAGAAGGTGTGATTAAAAATATATATATATAATCACACTTAATTGAAAAGTGACATAAAAAATAAATATTATCACACTCAATCAAATTAAGTGTGATTAAAATATCAATCTAATTTTTTTTATCACACTTCCAATAAAAGTGAGATCTTTTTTTTTGTCAAAGTGTGATCTTTAACTATTTTTGTAGTAGTGGACGCTCGAGCGGAGCTTTCCATGCTCAAGCAGACCATGTTATATCAGTTCGTGAATCTGATATTTCAGATCACTTTTGTATATCTCTCTCTTTAAAAACCCTTTCCTCTCCCTTCTCTCTATATTTTCCTACGCCAAATTGGATCAAAACCTTGATTTCTCAAGATCCATTAGAGTTCTATCATAAATTCTTCATCAAAGTTGGTTAACTTCTCGAGGGCTTCGTTGTGTGCGGTGAAGATCGAGTTTCGACACCGTTGATTTTGGGAGTTTCATCTTATTTCTTCTTCAAAACTTGAGATAGAGATTTTCTTGGAGTTATATATATATTTTTGCAAGATTTATATGATTTTTGAAATCATCTTTCGATAGCTTTGAAAAATGATTGTTGATTCAAGAAGTTGAGCGATTTTGAAAGTGAGTTTGTCTCTTATTCTTTTAAAATGATCTTATGGGTTTTGATCTTCGTTGATTGAAGAAAAGATGATTTTGAAAAGTTTTCTTTCAAAGGATTTGAGTTGTATAGTTTTGGTGAGAAAACCTAGATTTGGGAATTTTTTAAAAGAGACTGAAAATCTATGAATGATATTATTGTATTTATTTTGCGTGTCAAAATAAATGGATGTTTGGAAAATTTCTTATTTATATTTATATAAATGATGAATTTCAAGGAATATGAGAATTGGTGTTCATTTTGGAAATTATTGTTTAAAACGTTGAAATAGTTTTGAAATGACTAATTGTTGAGGATACTTGAGAAGAGAGAATTGTGCTATTCTTTGGATGATGAATGGAATAAAAGTGTTTATATTCATCTTGTGTTATTGGCATAACAATTCATTTGATTATATTAAACTTTGAAAGTTAATTTGAAAGCTTGCATTGAGAAAAGAATGTTGAGAAACAAGTTTTCATAAAATGATTTTGGGGTAAATACGTGATAAGTCTTGATAGGTGGCGTAAATGATATTGAATAAGTTAGCTTGAGAGTCCATGGTGAAAGACCGAAAACCCGCGCGGATAGGTGTCGAGCCTTCCGGTTAATACCAGTAAAAATGACAATTTGGTAGTACTTGTATAGTCTACTTGCAGACACCGATCTAAAGATTACCAGAGTCGTATTTACCGCTCTTGAAATAAATTGTTAAGTTTTGAACAATTGAAATTGCATGACATCATTGAACATGATGGTTTTCAAAAGATGAAGATGTGATTTATCTTCAAAAAGGGCACAGCATGTCATGTGCATTTCATCTCTTGAAACTTGTATAAAATGTATATATTTTGTTAAGGATTTCCTACTAGGCTATATGCTCACTCTATGGGATTTTTGCACGGGAAAAAATGTGGTGATGCCGCCTAACTAAAGGCGAGGATATGTGTGTTGAGAATACGAGACTCTCATTTTGCTGTGACTTTGTGTGTAAGCCAAGGCTGTATGTGTGTAGGTTTGAATAACCGTTTTGTGTAATCATGCTCAAGCCTTGGAAACTTGTAAACCCTTGGGGCTATTTATTTGTTTATTTACTTGTTGTTGGATTAATGTATTGTTGTATGAAAAACTATTGTATCATGTAATGTAAGTTTGGAAATTTATATTCAATTTTCCTTGAAAGAGCCATGATTGTTGTATTATCATTTGGGCTAGAAATTTGGGACGTTACATGCCCAAATGATAACATAATATCCATGGCTCTTTAAGATAAAAACTGGATATAAATCTTCACACTTGCACTACATGATCCAAATCAAATATCATAAACAAATAAATACCCTCATGGGTTTACAAGTTTCCAAGGCTTAAATCCGGTTACACAAATCGGTTATTCAAACCCACACAAATAAGCCCTTGGCTTACAAAACAGAGTCACACATAATGAGAGTATTGTGCTCCCAACACACACACTTCCATGCCCTCAGTTAGGCAGATTCACCACGTCATTTCCTGTACAAAAATCCCATAGGGTGAGCATAAAGCCTAGTAGGAAATCCTTAACAAAGTATATACATTTTATACAAGTCTCAAGAGATGAATGCATGTGTCATGCCATGCCCTTTTGAGAATAAAACACATCTTCATCTTTTGAAAACCATTATGCTGAATGATGCAATGCAATTTCAACAATTCAACTCTTATCAATTTTATTCAAGGGGCGGTAAATACTACTCTAGTAGTCCTTAGGTCCGTGTTTGTAGGTAGTCTATACAAGTACTACCAATTTGTCATTTTTACCAGCATTGATTAGATGGCTCGACACCTATAATCTGTCATTTTTACCAATATTAATTGGAAGGCTCGACACCTATTCAATTTTATCTACACCACTTGTCAAGACTTACTATCGTATTTACTTTAAAGCCAATTCATGAAAACTTGTTTCTCAACATTCTTTTCTCAATGCAAGTTTTCTGATTAAATTTCAAAGCTCTTCATTCACAAATGGATTGATATGCCAATGCAATGATTAATAATACAATACAATATTTCTTCCACTTTCAACATTTTCACACAATATTTCCATTGTGATAAAAAAAAAAAATCTCCATTTCTCCATTCAAATGTAATTTTACATGATGAATAAACACTTTTAGTTCAATTCATCTAAGGGATAACAAAATTTCCACCTTTCAAGCAATTTCAACAATTTAGTCATCTCAAGACTATATCAACACTTTTAAACAACAATTTTCAAAACTTCTACAATCATCATATTCCATGAAAAACATCATTTATATGTAAATAAATAAACAATTTTTCAAAACATCATTTATTTTAGCACACAAAATAAATATAACATCCCCCAAAGATTTTCAACATCTTTCAAAAAAATCTCCAATTTCTAGGTTCTCTCACCAAACCCATCCATTTTCAAATAT